CCCCCCCCCTTTTAAGCCAAATTGGTGGCAAGCTCTTGTAATCCCAGCTCTGGGAAGAAAGAGACAGGCAGACCCCTGGATTCACTGGCCAAATAGTCCAGCCTCATTGGTGAGCTTGAGACAAATGAGAGATTGTCTCAAAAAACAAGGTGAACAGCTTCTGAGGAATGACACCTGGGGTTAACCTCTGCCCTCCACATGTATGCACACACATGTATACCCCCCCAAACATGCACCTCCCCCAACACACAAAAGAATAACCTTCTGGCTTCAGACTGTGCAGTGGTATGTATCTGTAGCCTCCTACTTGGGAGGCTGAGGCCGGAATTCAAGGCTAGCCTGGGCAACATAATGAGACCCTGCCTAAAAACAAGGCTGGTGAGATGGTTTACCAGTTAAAAGTTGTCCTTTGAACTTTACATAAGTGCCATAGCATGTACGCACATACACACACACACACACACACACACACATTAAAATTAACAAAATAAAACAGCTGGTCATTGAGGTCCCTGACAAGAGCAGTTTTGTAGAGAGAGGGACAAGCCTAACTGGTGTGGATGGAGAAGAGAGTGAGAGGTGAAGAGCTAGAGAGAGCAGGTGAAGAAAACGTGAAAAACTGACATATATGACACAGGTCTGTAACTCAAGCATGTGAGAGGCTGAGAGGCAGGAGGATGATGAATTCTTTGTAGTGAGATCTCATCTCAAAAAGATTCTTTTTTTAGCTAGGTGTGGTGGTGTATGCCTTTAATTCCATTATTTGGATCTCTGTGAGTTTGAGGCCAGGCTGGTCAGCATACCAAGTTCCAGGCTACTGCCATATGAGTCGGTGCTAAAATAAAACAAAATAAACAAAAAAAAATGACATAAATGTAACAAATTGACAAAACCCAGAGATACAGTGCACCAAGTGTTAAAAATCTGTAGGGCTTGTGCAGCTGTCTCCCAGATCTAGACATAGCACACATCCTCAGCTACCCCAAGAAGCTACCTTTTGTCTCCTCCAGTTGATATCCCCACAGCTAACCATTATTTTTATTTCCATCAACAAGAATTCCTTTTGTTTGTTGAATGTAGACAACTTTTGGCAGATTTTCTTGATGGCTGGGCTTAGATTTTTGCAGGCAGATAATGTTCTAATGGTAGGAAGAGGAGACTGGAATTCAGACTCTGTGGGGTAGCTGGTCTTAGGGCTAATTTTCTTGGGTACTGTGCTTGCTCTGTCTCCAAAGACAATGTGACTAGTTTCCCTCATTTGTAGCTTGAGCCTCCTCCCTTCACATCCCCTTAGGGTTGTGGTAATGAATAAAGAATTCATTGCTAGAAAATGGGATTTTCCAGGCCTTCCAGAAGCTTGCCAGGGGTTCTAGTGCTCTGTCAGCAGGAATGGGTGGAGCTAGAGTATGGGAGGCCTGCCTGCCCAGCTATGTTTAAGGAACTGGCCTGGTAACAGTGTTAGCCTGACAAACAGCTTCCCTTGCCATTTCTTCAGGCTACCATGGCACTGCTCAGGCTCCTGGCGCTTTTTGCTCTGCTTATCTCTGGTGAGGAGCTGGGTGGGTAGGGGGACCCCAGTTTGCCTATGGAGTTCTGACCACTAGATAAGCTACCTTAAAGGGTAGAGGCTGAGGAAAAACCAGGAGAGGGTAAGGGTCTTAAAGCCTGACCCTTGTTCCTATCTTGGCTGTTTCTTCGACTCTCTCTCTCTCTCTCTCTTTCTCTCTCACTCTCTCTCTCTCTCTCTCCATGTAAAATAGCAGATGTGGGAGACAAGGCAGCAAGGAAGGACCTCGGCTGCTTAGCCCCTGGATGTAGCCAGGTCCTGCAGCAAAAGGGTATTACTGTGCCTCTATGTGTGGCTCCTTGAGACTGGGGACCTCTGATTTCAATGCTCTGTTTCTTCCAGACTTGCACAGTCTGCCCTGGTCTGTAGATATCTCTGAGCGCCAGGGCCCAGGCACCATCCTTCAGTCTTTCTCCTTCAACTGCTCCTCCTACATGCCCACCTTGGAGTTACTCAGTGTACGACCACCTACCAACTTTTTCAACAAACCCAGCCTGCACAGACAACAGGGAATCTATCTGGGAAAGGTAGAATCAATGGGTACAACTAAGGATTGTGGAGACCAAAGCCAGAGGTGGTGTAGAGAGACAAAAAGGCTAGATCCTACATGGCATTGCCAACTCACTACAGGTGACCTTGAGCAGCTCTGCTCGGTTGGACGCCCTCGCAGTGAACCACTATGAGCTGCAGCTGCAGTACAAATGTGGCAACTTTGTGGTAGAAGGCCCACTCTTTGTTCATGTGCAGCGGGACCTTGGTCATATTCAGTGTACTGGTCCATTTGCCAGCCCAGGTGAGGCCAGGGAGGGGTGGCAAGTAGGGAGTGGGAAGCCATGGTGTGAACTGAGTCTCTATGACCTTTTCTCTGGACAGCTGGAGAATTCATTTTTGTGCCAGAGACAGTCACACCTGAAGCCCTGCTGTACATGCTGCTGCTTCCAGGCCTAGAAGCCCACAGAGCCCAGGTAAGCTCAATGTGTAACAGGATATAGGTGGAGGAACACAGGGATTGCAAGCTCTGCTCCTTTCTGACCAGGCAACAACTTTCTGACCCTAAAGTAGACAGTTGAGCCTCTACATGATACATGTTCTTGGAGAGAGCCACTAAGTTTTGCCTACCCTCTGGATGGCAATGTCATTTCTTATGATGACATCTCAGGGACTAAGCTCAGCTTCCATATGTGTAGTGGTCAGAGGATAACTTTAAAAAAATTTTTTTTTGGAATTTTATTTTTTAATTTTATGTGTATGCGTGTATTGCCTGCATGTAGGCAAGTGCACCTGTGTCATGCAATGCCCATGGAGGTCAGAAGAGGCTGTTGGATCCCCTGGGACTCGAGTTACAGTTGTTAGCTGCCATGTGGGTACTGGGATTCAAACCCGGGTCTTCTGCAAGAACCACCAGTGTTCTTAACTGCTGAGCCATCTCTCCAGCCCCAGAGGATAACTTTTGGGAGTCAGTTCTCTCCTTCTATTACATGAGTTCCAGGGTTCAAACTCAAGTTGTCAGGCTTGACAGCGAGTGCCTTTACCCACTGAAGCATCTCACTAGTCCTGTGTTTGTTTTTGAGACATGGTCACATGTGTCCTAGGCTGGCCTCAAACTTGCCATGTAACCAAGGTGGCCTTGAACTTCTAATCCTTCTGCCTCCACCTCCTGAGTGCTGGGATTACAGGAGTGTGCTACCATGCCAAGTTTTTGTGGTGTTAGGGATTGAACCCAGGGTGGTATACATGCTAGGCAAGCACTTTGCCAAACTGTAGGGTGTGTTTGTTTCAGAAAGCCAAGTCTCACAGTGGAGGGCAGAGGCTGGGGCAGGCATCAGTGGCAAGATATTGGACAATCACGTGTAAGCAGCAGCCTACTGGGTTGTTGAAAGATGTTGACAGGGATGCTTGGGCACTGGGGACTGAATGGGACCCATAACATCGCCGTTCTATCAGATGAACATTACCAGTGCCCAAGATCCTCCATACTTCCCTGGGCCTTTCTCCATCAATGAGCATGGATTGCTGCGGGCACCACCTCAGGGCCTCAAAGGCCAGGCTCCAAAGGTGAGTTGGGGAACTAGGTATATCTATGAATTGGGTAGAACAACCATCTTCAGAAAATTGTTTGATCTTGGCTACTGCTGCTTTTCCAGACCACTTGCTGCCCCATGCTGACTATCATCTCAATTTGGCTTTGTTCTATGCTAAGAGCTGGAGTTTCCAGAAAGGGTCTGGGCCCCTGGCTCTGGCATCTCACAGGTCCTCTAACACAAAGTGCAGTGTTTATGGCACTCATACTTTGAGAGAAAGCTTTGGGTAAAGTGACCAGTGAGAAGGAAGTTCCCTCTTTGAAACTTCTAACTGCAAGTCCCTGGGTTTCATCCATAGCACTGCAAAAACAAACACTCTTAGTAACTGGCTCTTAGCAACACTAATCTAATAATTCACGCTGTAAATGACTCAGATATCACTCTTTCTTGAGCTTAATAGAATTCATGCCCAAAAGTATAGGGTTCAAAGGAATACTTATCAACAGCATGACAGGTCATGGGGCTTCTTGTAGAGGATCTGAAGAGGACTGCCTATTTGAAGGGAGGACTATGGATGAATATAGAGGTGGAAACATACCATGCTCCTCCTCCTGTCCCATATACATCATAGGCCTTCCTGCTACAGATTTTAGTGTCCTTTGGAAAAGGCCAAAGCTGCAAAGGAATGCTGACAGTGAAGGTTTTGCCTGCTTTCCCCAGCCAGGTCATCTTCCCGTAAGGATCCCCTACCCTGGGAATAGTGGAAAATAATGCACCTAGCCCCAGAGAAACAGTAGTAGGGGTAAGCTGTAGGGCATCTGGAGCATCCTAGCTCCCATAGGAGGGGAGCCCAGGGGAGGAGCCTGGGGACCCTGCTGGAGTGAATAGGAGGAGGCAGGAGCCAGGTCTGCACTTTTTGTCCAGACAGAAGGCCCAGAGTATCACCGTCCCAGAGGATCTGGCCCCTGGGAGCAAGGTGATTCAGGTCCAGGCTAGGGGATTCGACTTGCTCTTTGAAATCATCTCCCCATTCCCCAGTCCACTCTACTCCATTGGACAAGGTGACAGAACGGGCAGGACATGGGTACCGGAAAGGGTCGGGTGCAGAGGTGATCCCTACTAAAAAGGTCGGGTCGGGGGCTTGACTTTAGAGGAAGAGGAGGGAATGGCTAGGATCAGCCACTTCCTCCCGTGGGTGGGGTGGTTGGTAGAGGGCTGGACTGAGCTGGAACCAGGCAAGCTCTGCTTCTCTGCCCTTACAACGCTGCCAGTTGATGGGGTGGTCCGGACCACCGCGCCCCTGAATTGGCCTCGCGCCCAGGGCACAGAAGTCACGAAACTGCAGGTGAAGGCCTTTGAAAAGCTCCGACCTTGGGCCAGTGCTGAGTTCGATCTCACAGTTAACGTGCAGGTGGTCAACCAGTGGCCCCCACGCTGCAGTCCGGCGCTCCTGGTGTGAGTACAAGGGAGCCATGCCTGGGGCTGGTTGGGGCAAGATCTCTAGCTCACCCTTGGGCCTGTCTTGCTGCCTTCTCTCCACTCCCAGGACTCAAATCCCAGAGACTGCACCAGAGGGCACTGTGCTGAACAGACTCACTTGCTTTGATCCAGACTCTGCCGGCTCCATGCTCCACTACCAGCTGAGGTTCCACAGCCCTTCCTATCCTGCCAACCTCCGTCTTCGCGACAGAGCCCTTGAGGTGCCCAGCACCCATTCCTAGAATTCAGTGTAGAGAAGAGTGGTGGGTATCTGTGGGCACTGAGACCATGGAGGTGGGGTTGTTAAAGCAACCTGCTCTGCAGTGTGGAAGGTAGGATCCAGGTAGGCTGTATGTAGATGCTCTGGTTTGAGGCACCCTGGGATGGCTCCAGGTTTTCCCAGACCCTGGTTTCATCTCACTCTCAGGTCCCTTTGGCCAGGTGAACACCACATTGGATTGTGATACTCCTGGGGCCTGCTTCCAGCATGCAGCTTCCATCCTGGTGTCTGATGGTGGTCAGCCCCAGATGACCAGTGAGTGACCATACCTAGGCCTGAACATTTGGGATAGTTTTGACTACTCCTTTCATACTCAAGACATAGTTTTCTTCCCTCAGAAACCAGGAGGTCAGGGTTATCTCAATTTTAGACTCCTAGGGTCTCTCAAGACCCCCCACACCCCAGCAAACCCTCTCCCTCCACTGAAGGGCCATATCTACTTCCCAAGACCCCTAGGGGAGGGCTGGGTACCCCAGGCCAGCTCCTTGACTATCAAATGGTCCCCAGCTGAGGTGCCAGTACTGGTGATGGTGACACCTGTCAATGAGTTCTCCCCAGCCTGTGCCCCACACACGTTCCGGGTTCGGGAGGATGCAGGGCCTCACACTCTGCTGGGCTCCGTGGTGGGCACTGATATGGATTACCCACACAACAGTCTTGAGTACTACATCTCTGGTGGACCCTCCACCTTTGCTGTGGACCATCTCAGTGGTACTTATACCCCAGGGTTGGAATGGAGGGGTGGGGGCCAGAGTTGACTCTACTGGCTGAGGCTGATCATACCCTCCAGGAGAGCTTTACCTCCTGGGGCCTTTGGACTATGAACAGCAGAGGTTGTATAGGATCATTGTTCTGCTGATTGATCACAGCCAAGACTGGGACTTCAACCACCACCGCTCAGGTTCCTGTACCATAACCATTGAAGTTGAGGTAACTGACTGCCGAGGACTGGGAAAGACAAATTGCTCTCTGACCTTTTGCTTTTCCATGCTGTTGTCTCAGTTGCTTATATGGGTTGGCTGCGGGAAGGGGCTCACTGTGGAAAAATACCATAGCCCGTTGCCTGATACCCAGACTCTGTGTTAAAATGAAACTGAGGGGCTAGCCTAGGAATTTGAGGAATAGGTTGTAGTCACTTTTCATGTGGTGGCCTTTCTCCAGGATGTGAATGACCATGCCCCCGAGTGTGAGCCTCCATTTCAGGAACTTACCACCTACACTCCCCTGGGTCATAGCGTGGAGGTGACCAAAGTGTCATGCTGGATCCCTCAGGAGCCACAGCGCTTGGCTTTCTCCTACAGCATTGTGGGAGGTGTGAATATGTGGGGGTCACCAGGCAGTGGGTGAGGGTCAGGCTAGGGTCAATAATAACTTCCTTTCCTACTACTCTTTCAGGGAATAGCCAGAGCCGATTTACACTGCAAGGGACCGTCCTGGTGCACAATGACACTATGTTGGGTTCCCCATGGTCAGAGAAGCCTGGCACCTATGAGCTATTGATCCATGTGGCTGATGCAGGCCCTTCCATCCCCCACCTCAGCACCACAGCCACCATCATTGTGCATCTAGCTCCTTGGAGGGCCAGCACAGTGGCCACCAGTACCCACAGAACCACAGTGAGGGGGTTCTCAGGCCCTTGGGGGTTGGGAGCGAGGATCTTGAAAGGTGAAGACTTCTTGGCTTTTCAGGTGGAATAATAAGACATTCTGGAGAAAACTGCTGAATACAAAAAGCAAATCTTGGGTGTGGGTTGCCTCAACCCATGGAGAATTTTGACAGAGCAGTGCTGAGGCTGTGTCCTTCTTTTCAGGTGTCCTCAACAATGACACCCCTGATTGTGACAGATGTAGAAGCTTTCTGGCAGCCAGAGCCCTGGTTTATGGTAGTGATGACAGTGACTGGTGCCCTTCTCTTCCTGGTTCTGGGCTGGCTCCTCAGCAGGCTTCTCCAGGGGTAAGTTCCTATCCCCATGCTTCCTGCCTCTCCCAACCCACGTATGGACACTGGCTGGTACAGGCGGTTTTATTCAGTACTTATGACAATGCCAAAGTTGGTGGGTAGACTAAGACTGAGGAGGGCTGCTGCTGTCCCTCCAGAGGTCTTCAGATAGGAGTCAGAGAGACACTGGAGGGAAGTGGTCTCTATCCTTGGCAGAGACATGTCTTGGAATAGGATAGGCATGGATAGCTCAGGGTTTGAGACTGGAGTTTGTAGTACATGGGGCATTTACTCCTCTTCCTGATCCCTGCTTCTACAGATTGAATTATCTGAGCCTAGGGGTAGGGCAGATGATAATGTGGGCATTGTTTTTTCCTAATATAAAGGGGCAGATGATGCTACTACTCCCTGGTGTTAGCAGGCTTGCTGCACTCACTGCTTGGTTCTTCCTGGCATTTTAGGTTGGCTCAGGTGTTTCAGGCACCTAGCAAACCAGCCAGGGCTCTGCTGCTAAACAGGTCAGTCTCCTTTGCCTACTTCTATGCCTGGGAACCCATGTCTTAAACTCAGGCTGGGGCCCAGAACCTCAGCCTGTGCTTCACCTATTTTGTTTTAGCATTCAGGGAAATGAAGGCTCCATTGAAGGGTTCATTGAGGCACCAAGGATGGAGATTTCCCAAACACCTAGCACTCTTATGAGTATGGTATGTCAACTCATATCTCAGAGGGCACTGAGGCTGTTCCACAATACTCCCCATCCCTGCTGAGCCTGCCCTCCTGCCTGCAAACGGCTACCCCTGTGGGAGTACCCACACCAGCATCTTAAGGAGACACATGGGCTGCTGGCCCTTCCATCTGCTCCCTGTGGGCAGGGTTCAACTCATTGTACTCTTTTACTCCTTTCAGCATTACGATGGCAGAGCCCAAGATGTTCGTGAGTCCCCACTTTTCCCAAACCATTTTCCACCTTGGCCCTCACCTTTCCCCAGAATTTCTTCTTGCCCCATCCCCATATTTACTCCTACCACCAAGCATTCACCATCTACATTTTCACTGAATGAGCTCTTCTCTCACCCTCACTCATCTTTTAGCCAACTTTTGCCAAGCACCAATGGGCCAGGAGATGACTAAGACCTGGTCTGGTCACAGGAAGGAGATAGTAGTAAAGGGAGAGCTCCCTAGATAGTCCAGTGGCTCCAGTAAATTATGGCAGAGTAATCTGACATTGAACACTGTGGGGAAACTGGTTTTTGAGACTCAAGATGGCTTCCTGTACATTTGAGTCAGGGCATTTGCTGAGAAGGGAAGGAGGGAATAAACGGATCCCAGGGAAGGGGTCATTACACTGAGGGAGTTCTGCTGAAACCAGCAGTCCTCCCTCCTCTCTCTCCTGATTATCTGGGTTCAGGTACAGGCAGAGAATACCTGTTCAACACATGCACGGGAGCCCCGCGTTGGCGCTGAGACCAAGCAGCTGCTTCACTACTATGTGGAATTCCCTTTTCACATGATCATAGTCGTGTTTTCAAGTTAATTCAATAATAAAAAATACAAACAGAAGACTTCTTGCCTTGTAATCTTTGTGTGGGAGAAGCTCTGAGATCTGTGCTTCTTTGTCTTTCTTGGAGAAAAGGGCATCCCCATGGAACAGTGAGGTTATTTTGGTTATTTTTCTTTGAAGACTCATTGTCTGATGCTCTGACAGTGATTGTCACTCTGTAGAAGAGGCTCTTATCTTTCCCCCTCCTCTCCCTCCTCCCTCTCCTCCTCCTTTTTGAGACAAGATCTTCCTGTAGCCGCAGCTGGCCTGGATTCGCTAATGGAGACCAGGCTGGCCTTGAACTCAGAGATCTGCCTGCCTCTGCCTCCTGTGCACCACCATGCTCAGCCTTATCTTTCTTAGTAACTGATGGGCCTCTAATTGTCCTGTCCACTCAGATACAACTGGCTTCTTTTTCCTACCATGAGGGGACTTACTTTTTTTTTTTTTTTTGGTTTTTTGGAAGATGTGTCCCCCTCCCACGCCAGCTGGCCTGAAACTCATTTTGTACACCAGGCTGCCTTTAACTACACAAACCCCCCCCTGCCTCTGCCTCTGCCTCCCGAGTGCTGGGATTAAAGGCATGAGCCACCACATCTGGCTTAAAAATATTTTATTTTTTATTTTATGTGTATGAGTGTATTGCCTGCATGTGTTGTCAACTGTCAGTGCCCCGTGTCCTGCAATGCCTGTGGAGGTCAGAAGAGGGCATCAGATTCTCCTGGAACTGGAGTTACAGAAAGTTGTTAGCAGCTATGTGGATGCTGAGAATTGAACCCAGTCCTCTGCAAGAGCAGCCAGTGCTCTTAATCACTGAGCCAGATCTCCAGCAGCCCCACCCCCATTTTTTTTTTTTTTTCAAAGACAGGGTTTCTCTATGTAGCTCATGCTGGCCTGAAACTTGTATTCCTGCCTCAGCCTCCTGAGTGCCTGGCGTGACACTGTTGTTTTTTCTTATGTGTGCGCATGCTCATTTTTGTGTGCATGTGCAGACGTGTGTACACATGCATATGGGAGCCAGCAGACAACCTAATGGCTCACTCCTCAGACTACCCTCCCTTTTGGAGACAGGGTCTCTCACTGACCTGGAACTCATCCGTAGGCTAGACTAGCTGATCAGTGAGCCCCACGATATACCTCTCTTCCCCTCCCCTGTACTGGGATTACAAATAAGCACCTGGTGCTCTCTTTTACATGAGTCCTGGTGCTGTCTCCCCAGCTGAATAGCATTGCTTTTTGTGGGTCCCATTAACCCGATGGACAGTTTAGTTTGCCAACTGTGTGTAGAGGTTTTATTGGGAAGGATCTGCAGCTTCTGCACTGGGCTGACCTGAGAAACCAGCCGGCCATGATGGCACTTTATCCCAGCACTCTGGAGGCAGAGACAGGTGGATCTCTATGAGTTTGAGGCCAGCGTGGTCGGCATAGCAAGTTCCAGGCCAAATCAACAAACAAACAAACCCAAAACCAAACTAAACTTGAGAGACTGAGAAACCAGTGCTTAGGTGGTCCTGAAGTACTGATGAAAACCTCCTTCTAATGGTGATTCCATGTCCTCCTGTTTCCTCTGATTCCTTAGGTCTCCATGTGCTGATCTGGGCTATTGTGCACAGGTATCTTATTGCACATGGGTACCTTATAGCAGCCTACAGAAGAAGAGAACTTGCTGACTCCATACACAACCTGGCATCATGTCTTAGGATGCCAGAGACCACCTTTACTGTGTATTCTCCAGTTATCTCAACCTTCCCTCTTCGGTCAAATCTATGGGCTTGAACCCCCTCAAGGGCATTGGATAGCCTCCCTTCTGGAGGCCAGGCCCAGGAAGAAGTGTGTCCCTTGAGAGAAAAACATTCCTAATGTGGCTCCCATCAAAGCAAGAGTGTTAGTAGAAGCTGAGGGCTTAGCAGCCTGAAAGTGGCTATAGGTGGATTTTTCAAGAGATCTTAGCTTATTAAATGGGCCTCTGAGGTTTGACTTTTATCGTCATTTTACAGATAGGACAACCAAGTCTCAGAGAAGCTAAGGTTCAAAATTCTCAAGAGTTAATCAGTCAGGGTCTTTGGGGTGTGAGACTGTGACTGTCCTTCATATCCTAACCTTGAAGCCAAGCCAATGGTTAAGGTGCTCAATATGGAGAACAAGGGATGACCATCTTCATGGGACTGTTTGCTTGGAGACAGGTCATGACAGGCCAGGACAAAAGATTCTGTCATAAGACCTCAAGAGAACGCCCTGGGGCAAAGAGGAGTGAGCGCCCAGCGTGTGCTGAGGCTTGTGCTGGAGACCTAACTTGAGGCAGGACAAGCACCGTCAAAGGACTGCTAAGGCAGCGCAGAAGACTGCGCCTCGGGACTAGTGAGGGGCAATGCTGGGAGAAGCCCGGAAAACACTCCTCATACTCCGGAGCCTGAAACAAGAGAAGAGAGACCAATCACCACCACTTCCTAGGGCGACATGACCTTGGCCCAACCTCTCCTCTGCCCCTCAGTTTCCTCACGGAAGAACTGAGGTCGACCCCCCACCCTCCACCCCGAGGTAGGCGACAAAACAAATACCATACCGTTGACATTCCCTAAGTGTGTGCGCGAATATGATAATGCTGCCAGATCAAAATGGAAAGGGTTGTGCAGCTAAGGAAGCGAAGGGCGCACTGGCCTCCTGAGTCTCAAGTCAAACCTCCATCAGCCAGCAACTCCGAGAACGGCCCGCATGCGCCGACTTGTGCCGTCACAGTCACGTGCCCCAGGTGTTCTGCAAGGGGCGTGTGAGGCAAGTTCTGATTAACGGGCCAGTCGACGAATGAGCATGAAGCACTCTCCGGGCAGCAGGCGAAGCGGCTGTTGATTGGAGAGAACCTCAGTTGGGCGGGTTCTTTGCCATCTTGGTTACTATGACGCCCGATCCCCGCCCCCTCGGCTGGCCGCCATCTTGTTGTTGATCCGTACCCAGTGGGCAGCGCCAGGAGCGGGACCGAGCGGCCGGTGAGGGGCCGCTGCTGCGGGGCTCAGCCACCTGCGCTGCCTGCCAAGGGGCGGGCCGAAACCTGGAGGCCCGGGGGGCCCAGCTCCCGTGGGGAGCCTTGGGCGCCCGCTGCCCGGGTCGGGCCGGTGAGTGACAGGAGTCGGGCCGAAAGACCCGCCTGACGCCCGCGGCGAGGGTGGCGGCGGGCGCGGGGTTAGAGCGGAGCGCGTGTAGGGTAGGGGCTTAGGCCGAGCATCCCTGGAACATCTTTCCAGCGTCCTGGTTGGCGGCCCGCATAGCCTCCCAGAGGCTGGCACGGAGGTTGGGAGGACAGCCGGGGTTGGAGGTCGGAGAGTCCTGTACCCGAGGGCCGCCCGGTGGGGTAGCGGGAAACCAGCTTTTCCGACCGCGTACCGGGCGTCGCTGTTCTCTGCCAGTCTGTTCTCCGGGCCATTGTGTTTCTCCCAATCAGTGATAAACGTACCTTACTCTGAGATATCACACACTTGTAATTTTTCAGGCCTCTTGAGACTAAGATTAGATAAAACAGGCCTAAAAGCCCCTGTGAGCCAAGCGGGCTGTTATCAGAGCCCTGTGATTTTGGTAGGGTTGATGACCCTCTGTCTCTCTTTTTCCTTGGAGACCCCTTGGAGCCTGCAGTGCTCTCCCTAACTCACTGCTTCTTTCTTCTTGGAAGGCCTGGTTAAATGTCCACACTACTTGAGTTTAATTTTACAGTATAATTTCTTTGCTGCTCGACCACCACTTTTTTGGGAGTGTGTACTTAAGGAGACTCAGGATCGTGATGATTGTTCCTAAAGAGATAGTCCGTTAGTTTGATCATAGGAATCTAAGTGTGTCTTAGTACTATATTAAAAAGTGTTTTTTGTTGTTGTGGAAGGTCTTGAAATACCACATTAACTTTTAACATTACTGAAGCCGGCTGTGGTAGCTCACACACTGGAAAGGCTAGGGCAGGATGTTTGCCATGAGTTGCAGGCCAGCCTGAGCTACAAAGCAAGACCCTGTTCGGGAAACAGAAACAAAAACAGTACTAAATGGTGTTGAGCTTGATGAAAGCAGCCTGTCGGGCTTGTTTCCTAAGAGGGAGACTGAGCTGACATCCCCAGCAGAGTATGCAGGTCTAGAAAGGGTTTGGGCTGCTCCCAAACACATTTTTATTTACAGCCCATAGCTTCTCCAGACAGGTGTCTTGTGTGTTGTCATGCAGAACCTACACGAGATGTTTAAAGTGGCCACGTAAACAATACTCTGAATTTCTGTGAGGATCATGTCACATTTGAATGTTTAAGTCTGGGGATCCGATTGGAAAGCAGATGCTGAGTGAAACCAAAGGCAGGCAGGTTGTTGCTGTTTGCCAGATATTATGCATGTGAGAAGTTGGGAAGTGTTATTTATTTATTGTCCTTCCTCACAGCCATTTTTTAATGTTTGATAAGTTTTGACCTTGGTAAGATCAGCTCGGGCAGTTCTTGAGGGAGATACTAAAATATTAGCTTGTCTTTTTGAGTCAGGGTCTCCCTGTAGCCCCAGCTGTCCTGGAACTCACTATGTAGACCAGGCTGTCCTGGAACTCACAGAGATAAGCCCGCCTCCGCCTCTCAAGTGCCTGGGATTAATGGCGTGTGCTGCCGTGCCTGGCTCATTAATGTTCTTTTAGAAAATTAAGACAGCTACAGGTTGAAATTTGTTTCTGTTAAAATAAATATCCCCATGTTAGACTCATCTTATTTTGGATGTTGGCCCTCTTAGAGATATAGAACAAGACTGTTAATCAAGTTGTCAACATTGATTTCTGTATATAATCTTAGGGAGTTGAAGGGCCCCTTAAAGTCTGTCCTTGGTCTTAATCCTATGTTAGGACTGCTGACTGCTGCCTCAAGAAATTGGAATAAACAAGAACTTTCATTATCTTTGTTTAATGCTTTTACTACCTCATGAATATATGGATGATGCTTGATTCCACAGTTACCCAAAGATAATAGCCATACTTTTATGCTGGGTATTTTAAGTGTAGATGCAACCAGTGAGACTATTAACGATTGTTGTAGGCCCTCTATCTTCTTTGTCTCTGCATAATTTACTTATAAACTTCAGCATTTTAGGTTTTTGAGATAGTGCTCCTTGTGTATCCCAGTCTGGTTTAGAAACTCAGAGTCACTCCTCTTTGGAGTGCTGAAATTATAGGTGTACACTACTACCCCTCACTTAGCACTTAAGACTGTTATGAACAACAGACTTCACAGTGATCCTACTCTAGTCAGAAACTTAACATAGTCTTATAGGATGAGATCTGATGTAGTATCAGGAATTATAGGTGTACACTACTACCCCTCACTTAGCACTTAAGACTGTTAGGAACAACAGATTTCATAGTGATCCTACTCTAGTCAGAAACTATAGGGTGAGATCTGATGTCCTGATGTAGCATCTATGATGTGGCTGCCCAGCTAGTCCTAGCCTACCTCTCCAGGTTTTATCCTTATCTCCCATTAACTAAATGGCCTGCTCAGTATTCCATATGTATATCTCTGCCTGGTTCCTTTTGCTAGCTGAATCCTATGACCTTTGTCCCTGTTTAGGATTCTGTTCCTTTGCCTTCATCTCTTATCTTTGGAGAACAGTTCAAGTCCTACCTATCTTTATAAAACACCCCTAAAACATTTTAGATCCCTGTGAAATATTCTGCTCCCTTTGAACTGTAAAAGCATTATGGACCTTAAGCAGCAGAATTTGCTCTTTAAAAATAATTATTTTAAATTGTGTGTATGTGGGGTTGGAGAGATGGCTCATTGGTAAGAGTACTGGTTGCTCTCACTGAGGATTGGGGTTCAGTTCCATGCACCCACATGGCAGCTTAACCATCCACAACTCCAGTTCCAGGGGATGCAACACCCTCTTCTGGCCTCTGCAGATATTATGCACAGGTGGTACACTTATATACATGCAGGCAAGTTACGCATATAAATAAAAATAGTTAAATTTTGTGTGTGGGGGCATTCACTTGCTACAGAGTCTGCAGAGGTCAAAGGACAACTTACTCTCCTTCCACTGTGGGTTTCAGGGATCAAACTCAGATTGTCAGGATTGCAGAGTAGTGGTCTTACTCTCTGAGCCATCTTGCCACCCCTATTTTGTTTCTTAAGACAGTATTACGGCATAGCCCAGGTGGGCTGCCAAATTACCATGTAGCCCCATGCTAGTTTTTAACTTTTGGTCTTTGTGCTTTGGCCCCCAGACTGCTAGGATAACAGGTGTATACCGCCACATTGGCTTAGTGTTTTGTGGGTTGTTTTTTTTTTTTTGTCTTTTTGAAGCAGGGTCTCCCTGTAGCCCCAGCTGTCCTGGAACTCACTATGTAGACCAGGCTGGCCTTGAACTCACAGGGATCCGCCTACCTCTGCCTCCCAAGTGCTGGGACTACAAGTGTGCACCACCACGCCTGGCTAGTGTTTCTTTTTTAAAACTTTAGTAATTTAATTTTTGAGCCAGGAATGGTGGCTCACTCCTGTCCTCCCAGTATTTGGGAGACTGAGGTAGAAGGATCCCCATGAGTTCAAGGCCATCCAGGGCTTCAGTATGAGACCCTTTCCCAATAGTAGTAATAATGATTTTTTTTTTTTTTTTTAAATGAGACAGGGTCTCCCTGTAGCTCCAGCTGCCCTGGAATTTACTATATAGTCTAGGCTGGCCTCAAACTCACAGATCTGCCTGCCACTGCCTCCCAGGTGCTGGGATTAAAGGCGTGCACCACCATGCCCAGCACATAAAAATGATTTTTTAGCCATGCTTAGTGGCACAGGTGAGCTAGGAAGATAACAAGTTCAAGGCCTGTCTGAGCTACAAAGTGAATTTAAGGTCAATCTGTGCAAATTAGTGAAACCTCATCTCAATATTGTAACAAGATAAAAAGAGGGTTAAAAGAGATTGGAGAAAGCTGGAGAGATGGCTCAGCCGTTTTAAGAACACTGGCTGTTCTTGCAGAAGACCCGGGTTCAAATCCAGCACCCACATGGCAGCTAACAACTGTCTATAACTCCAGTTCCAGGGGATCTGACAGCCTCTTCTGTCCTCTGCAGGCATTCATTGCACGACACAGATGCACTTACCTACATGCAGGCAAGACACACATACACATAAAATAAAAATATTAAAAAAACTGGAGAGATGGCTCAGTAAGTGTGTGCCACACAAGCCTAAGAACTTGAGTTTGATCCCTAGTATCCACATAGAAAGTCTAGTCTAGTGGCACAAGCTTGTAATCCCAATGCTGGGGACCCAATGCTGGGGAGGTGGAGATAGTCAGATCCCTGTAGCTTACTGGTTGGCCAGCCTGGCCCAAAAATGCAAGCTTCAGGTGCCAGTGAGAGACCCTGTCTCAAAAAACAAGGGTGCTAGAGAGATGTCGCAATGGTTAAGAGTACGTGCTGTGCAAGCATGAAGACTGGAGTTTGTATATGCCGTCACCTGTGGGCAGAGAAGAGAGAATCAGTGGGGCTTGCTGTCTTCCAGCTTAGCTGAAAAACATGAGCTCCTGGTTCAGAGACCCTGCCTCAGAGGAGCAAGACAGAGAGTGATAGAGGAGGGCACGTGATGCCTTCTTTTGACCTCTACATGTATAGAGGCAATGGACTTGTACACATACGTGCATATACCACATACATATAATACACAGTATACAAAAAAAAGAAAGAAAAATACAAAAATAAAGTGAATGGCTTCTGAGGATTGATACTTGACCTCTGCATATTTGTACCTGCACACCCCCCATACTCACTCCAGGCCCCCCAAAAGTTCTGTGGGTAAACTTAGTGGTAGTTATTTGTCTAGCACTCATGAGGCCCCAATTTTAATCCCTCCATATTATGTATCACCATACACACACACAGAATTACTTTTGTGTTTTTTAGTGGGACCTACCAGCTCTCTGGCAGGGACCACCTTTTTTGTCTTTTTACACTTTAGTTTATAAATGCATATAAAGACATACTAAATTTGTCTCAGTTGTAAACACTGTAATTACGCAGGAAAGGGGAAGGGAGTGGATAAGTAAAAATGGGAATTTGGTGGTCCTGGAGCACTATGTCTTGTGCACCTGAGATGCCTGCACACATTGTTTTATGGA